TTGAATTTGGAGTGCATATAATCTTAAAATTCTGTGATGGACTCTGAAAGCAGTCTCCCTACGTAAGGGGGATAATGAAATATTCCTCCCCACATTCTGGCAGTCCAGTTAAACTGTTAAACGAAACATGTTTCTGTGTGTGTATGTGCAAAAAACTCATTTCTGTCAAATTTTCGTAACAACTGGTAATTTGAAAACTTCACACCCTTGCAACCACCCAGCAATACTGAAAGCCTGGAAATAGCCCAGGCTATCCAAGCATTGAATTTATTCTCAAACTTTGAGTTTACTAGAAGAAGAGGTTGAAATTTGGAGGGAGGTTGCTTCTATTTTAGTTTCTAGCAACATCAAAGCAGTCAGTGATGACATTGGCTTCAGTCCTGACAGTTTCAGCAGCTTCCCTTGTACAGTTAGCTTTGTAGGGTAACAGTGATTGTCTTCTGCTAGTGGTGCCTGTATCTGATGCTGACGCTAACATTTCTTCCTCAAAGTGACTGCAGCTATGCCCCTTGTTCATTTGCATCTTTGTAAAAGTCATGCCATTTTCTTGTATGTATCTGTTGATTTCACCCCCTCTTGCTTCCGTTTATCTTTCTTGAGGAGAAGCTGATCTATGGTCACCAATTATCTTTTCTGCAGCATGTATTTAAGTGGCACCTTCATCTGCAGGTGCCCCGAAGAGCATGATGGGCCCCCGGTCCTACTACTACAGTCTCGTTCTGCTTTACCTCCTGAACTGCCCAAGACTTGATGTTCATCTCTGCCAGTTAGGTTTGCAGTGCAGCAGAGCACTTACTTTATGATTACAAAACCACGTACAGATTTCCTGCCAGCTCTTTTTCACATACTTTCACTTCTGTTCCTTGTTCCTTTCTCCATAGGCCAGGCAATAAATGGAGGATGCTCAGGCTCATGTTTTTGCACTGTATAGCAGAGTGGGACAGGGCCAAGGTCTGTTATGGAGCAGAGGATACTTTGCATGTGTGTGTTCTCAGGATGAGTTTTGCATTTAGGCTCTTGACAAAATCTTCAAGCAAAAATTATCATGGATATATCATTTGAAGTCCCTACATTGGCCCTGGTGTGTTCTCCATGCCAATAATGCTGGGCTGCTTGCACTTGCTGAGTGTCCAACCAGTGGCTCAAAACATCTGTTAAGAGAGGTTACTGATGTACCATACTGGCAACCCGGATGCCAGTGCCAGCAACCCAGCACAAGGCTCCAGCAGTCTTCTCCCCATCTCTTCAATTGCAGTTCTAGTCCAGCAATGCCCTCTAGTAAGTATAGAGCAGAAGTAAGTGTAGCCAACCACCAGTGGGATCCCAACGGGCTCAAGAGGCAGAGTGCTCTTGGAATTCATTTGTGAATAGTATTCATGTCCATTAAAGTAATGGGTATAAGTGCCATTCACCATATCTACTGATGGAAGAGGCAGTCAGTAAATATGAGAAATGAACTCAGATAAAAATCATGATATTTAAAGCACTGTAATAAACCTGTCAGTCTTCTCAGATAGCAAGAAACAAATCTCAATTAAATAAGACAGTAGTAGTGAGAGTGAGCCCACCAAGAGGTGGGCCTGGCCCATCCTTTGGGCTGATAGCAGCAGGGTGCTGTGGAAGGGAGGGGACAGGTCCTCCAGCACCTAGGCAAGCCTGAGCAGAAAGGACCAGGAACACTAATCCAATCTTGGGGAGAAAAGTATGCTGTGATAAACAAGCATGTTCTGAAAAGAGATTTGATTATAAAAACTTCAAGTAAAGATGTTAGGTGTTTTGAAAGAAGAACAGAAGAAGAGTCTTTCTTGCCTTTCCCTCATCATCCTCAGTGCTATCAATTCTTTTTGAAACTAACAAAAATTTTTTGAAAGTTTCTGCAAAATTGCTAATTTTTCATGAATTCAGTGGCACTGTCAGTGATTTTAGGGAAAGTGTACCTGTGGAAACTCAGTGGTTTGAGTAAACTTACTTCCTTCATGTCTTCCTCTTATTTTCTTGACCTCTCAGAGCAACGATTTATTTTGTTCTTATTTCCAATTATTCCTGAACCGCTATAAGTTGCTCGTATCCTCCCATCATTTTTGGCTGAATGTAGGTTTCACAATAGAGTTGTTCTATGCTTTTTTTTTTTTTTTTTTCTTTTTTTTTCTTTTTTTTTTCTTTTTTTCTGAATGAGCTTTGATGTACCTGTGTGAGATTCTCCTGCTATCTGGTACTCTGCATTCAGATCCATGATCTATGCTGCTGGTTTCACACTCATATTTTCTCCTTAGCATGTGTTCTGCAGCACTTCTCAGTTGCATCAAAAATCTACAGGAAAAACATTAGTCATGGCTCTCAGTTCCCTCATACTTCTTGCATATGCAGGTTTGATAGTTCTCCTGTTGAAAAAAAAAGCAAGTAAAATAAAATGCTCCTTCCTCCACCTCACTCCATGAACCTACCCTCCTCATGTGTTGCCATGAGAAGAGATGGGTTTAGGACTCAAAATCTGTGCAAAACTGAATGAAAAGGTTTAATGTTTGCTTCATGAAGCATTTGGTGATCATTCTCATAGTGTTCTCATTCTCTGGAGCAGAGATCTTTGTACGAGGTCTGCTCCAAAGGTAATGGCTTGATTATGTTGGCCCATGACATCAGAAGTGGATGTTGGTGGTATGGTAGTAGAGGTTGAACCTTCCCATCAATATTCCATTACATTTTGCTACTGTGTGACAGATGGCAGCAGAGGGGCAGTCTGGCATAATGGCATCTGACATGGAAGTAAAGGTGTGTCACTGATTTCCTCCATGTGGAAAAAATGACACCTGCTGACATACATCGATGCATGCTGAATGTTTATGGAGACCAAACAGTGGATGTGAGCACAGTGAGGCAGTGGGTGCTGTGCTTCAGCTGTGGTGGCAGTGACAATAAGTCACATCCTCTGGTGCAGGTGTATATGAATGCAGCATACAGGCATTAATTGCTGGTGAAAATGCTTAGCTAGCATTGGTGACTGTATTGAAAAATAGTGTTTTGTAGTTGAGAATTTGCTCTATCCAACAGTGCTGTTGTGTCCTTCGCACCTGTTGTTGTTTCCATGGAAAATAACAGGAGGCATTATTTTCAGAGTGACCAATGTATATAGCTAGAAGTCTGCCTCACCTTCAGTAACTTACCTAAAAAATTCGAATTTTCTTCCTTCTCTTGAACTCACACTTTCTATGGTGCAAGAGAGAATAGTGTACATATTTAGTTAGGCATGGGAGTAAATATTTGGAATATATTTAATATATGCTGTTTTCCCATTTGAAAAAGGGCTTAGACTTCACTCCTGAACAATGCCATGATCGTATTTCAGGACAGAAACACATCTATCTGTTTTCTCTAGATGTGAACCCTTCAACCACGTGGATTTGTACTGTGACTTTTATTACAGTGTGGTGTTATAATAGGATTTGCCCTTCTCCAGGGAAGGCTTTTATGTAAAGGTATATATACATATAAATATGCATATATAGAACAGTTCTGCTGTAGGGTAAGAGGACACTGAGTCCAAAAAGCTAGGTTTTCTATATTTTATTCATAAAAACAGATTTGCAACAATTTATTAAAAATTGATCTCATGCAGTATAAGGTTATACAAGAAATTCTTCATTTACATTTTATTCTGGCAGTTCCAGTCTAGTTTAAAGCATTTGTGCACTAACATCATTGGAAAATGCCATTGGGGCACAGCCTCTTCATAAATTTACAGTACATTTTTGCTGCAGTATAAAAGAACAGAAACATTAAATAGCTATATTCACTTGGTTGGTCTTGTTATCTGCAGTAAAGTAAAAAAAAAAAATGTTATGGGAGAAACTACAGTATCATTGAGACAAAGAATGTACTGCATGGTTTAAACCTAATAAACGTCACACAGTCAGTATTCACGAAGTTACAGACACACACACACACTCACCTCCAATGGTCCGATACTTCTGATTTTTTTTTCCTGCTAAGTTGGAATAATATTTCTACAGAGATCTTTGTGTATACATTATATACAGTTTTGTATTTTTTTTCTCTTCTTAAAAATTAACATTCCTTTTAAAATAAACCAGGCCCTGATGATATTAATAAAGCAAGAGAATACTGTCAACACACATTGAGTGACAACGTCAGTGTTTAGTGCTTAAACAGAGTAATGAGTTCTATTTTATCTGTGTTTATACTTACATGTTTTTGTTCTAAAAGCTACAATATTTCCATAACCTCTCTTACTGTATGTGCCAAGTGAAACATTTTGTGATGCTCCTGATTGTAAGATTCGGATATATATTCACATCGGTTTTGGCCACTATGAGGTGTGTTCTATTTTCAATGGCGATATATGCCAGCTCATCAAAGCTGCAGTTAAGTCCCTCAGCTAATGGACCTTTTTAGCTGTGCTTTAGCCATGGTTAATTTGTAAACCTTTGTAGAAACGTCATTCCCAAGGTCTGGTCTGTGCTGCACAGGCATTGGTCAAAGAGGACTGAGAGCCCAGTGGATGCTTCGGGTATTTTCCCCCTGCTCCTAGCAAGCAGCCCTGGCAGAGAGATGCCACATTTCCAGTTCGTTGGAAAAAGAAATTGCACGTGGATCTCACCTGTGCCTGGAGGCTCAGCTCCAGAGATGGTCCAGATGGTGTGCCGCTATCGTTCCTTCTAATTACTTCGGTTCAGGGGATAGAGCTAAAGTGTAAAAACCACGCTTTTGAGTTGTTTTGGATTTTTATTCTCTTTTTTTTTTTCTTTTTTCTTTTTTTTTTTTTTTTTTCCCCTTTGAAGATTCAAATGAAATATTCTATTGGTAAATTTGATCTGTTTTCTCTGTTGTCCACCACGACTGTCACACAAGCAGGTACGAAGCAAACATAGTGTATGGCCACATCTATGTGCTCTGCAGGTGTTGCCTGCAGCTGCAAAGTGCTGTGCCCTAACCCCCCACCCCCAGTCCGCTAAATTATTTTTATTGTAATTGTGTGTGACATAATTCAAACAAACTATGAAAAACAATCCATCCTGTGACATTAAGACTTTACTACCCAGCTGTCCTCAGCCCGAGGACTTTTCCAGGCAGTTTAGTACATTATGGATGGTGGTGCTTGCTCTGAGACCTCATTAAACCGAAGCTGCCGATGGCCAGCAGTGGCTGCCATCCCTGGAGAAGGGCAAAGTACTGTGATTCCAACAGCAGCTCTCTCCTGTTGTAACTTCAGCCCCTGCTCGGGCTTCCTGTACCGTTGTTAGTTTGAGGTGACCCTGCAGTCTCAATGGCACCCGAGGAATCATTTCTCACATTCCTTCTTTCCTACAGAACATCATCCCTGAAATGAAAACGAGCAAGACTAACCAGTGCAGAATGTTTCCAGCAATTTAACACAACTCTTGTAAAAATGAGTGTATCTATTTCAATAAATACATTATAGCTCAATCACTGTATTTTTCCTTACATGGATACAGTATAGAATTGCATGTTCTCAGCAGCCACGTAAAGCTCAGTGACATTTGAGTGTTTTTCCTAGAGTCTTTTTTGCTAGATTCGTATTTCCCAGCCTCCTTGTTGCTAGTAGAAATTTGGGAAGAAATGTTTTCAGTGACTTCTACGTGAAGAAATAAAAACTCCATGAATAAGGCTACAGATCAAGCTCCTCGCGTCCTCCTCCTTCGCCTTCCCACATGAGCTACCCTGGCACTCCTGTGGCGGTGGCCTCAGCAGTAGTTTCTCTGTGCTCAGAGCCAATGTCACGTGCTTGTAGCAGAGTTCTATGTCAGATGTTTAGACCAGTCTTTGAGTACTTAAAAGCAGTTCAGGAAGCACTGATCTCTCCTTCCTACAGCCCAGAAACCATCACTCGGAAGGAGGGTGGCACGTGCCTGTGCCGAGGGCTGGCGCTGGGGCTTACGCAGGGGCTGGCACAACTCGCGTCAACTCCTCCTATGGAGGGCAGGTAGGCGTGGTGGAGGATGGGCAGCTGCAAGGACAGCCGACGCTGTATGCTGGGAGAGACAGAGGAAGAGAAGTGTTAGCCAAGGGAAAATCAGAGAATCGCAAAGGTTGGAAAAGACCATTACAATCGTCTAGTCCAACCGTCAGCCCATTTGCATCGTGCACACTAACCATGTCTCTCAGTGCCATATCTACATATTTCTTGAACACCTCCAGGGACTCCACCACTTCCCTGGCAGTTTATGCCACTACCTCACCACTCTTTTGGAGAAGTTTTTCCTAATATCCAAGCTGAACCTCCCCTGGTGTAACTGAGGCCATTCCCACTCATTCTATCGCTATTACTTGGGAGAAGAGGATGACCCTCATCTCACTACCACCTCCTTTCAGGGAGTGATAAGATCTCCCCTGAGCCTCCTTTTCTCCAGAATGCCATTTATTGTGTGTTTGAAATGTTTGCAGGTTGCTGCAAGGATATTTACTGCTGTTGGGATAGAGAGGGTTAATGCTAGGAGTGCCGAGCTCACTACTGTTGAGTGATGCTACCACCACATTATTTCCCTAGGGAATCTTTCTGACAGGCTAGACATGACACAAGAATCTAACGGAGCCTTCTCAGCATCCCACTGCCTTCTGAAATTCCCAGGCACTTTCAGACTAATTGTTTGACTGATGGTACTGGAAAAAGGGAAAGCCTTAAACTGCAAGGAGGGCATATGGCTTAGCAATCCTCTGCTCCTTGCAAAGTGATCTATTGCACACAAAGCACTGCCTAACTGCACGGACACGCATCAGGTCACAGACAAATCTTTAAGCCATGCATCACTTAGCGCAAGGATGTCAGAATTAAAGATGGCATTTTTGCAGCTCCAGCTAAGGCAAATACAGGTGCACAGAGGGAATAAGTTCAGATTGCTGGGTTGTTCCAAGTGGTTTGTCTGTGCAGTTTAAGTCTGCGCTTTTAAGGCGCAGACTGCTCTCAAGTTCCCACACAGTGCTGTGGGGCTGCAAAGTGAAAAGCAGTCTGTTCCCCCACCTACAGTGAAATTCAGCATTTAAAAATCCAATTTTCCTAGAAAATTGACGTCATCATAACTGTTAGGGTGCTCTTTTTTTTCTTTTTTTTTAAGGGGGCACAAAATCATGATTGTGACCAGCCCAACCAACCCCCCTCCATGCAGAGGACAGAACCATGACAAGGCTCTACTCATGCTCTGGGTATACCAACACCTCCCACAAAACCAAAACCAAGTTGAGGTTTGTCAGTGCAAGAGATGGTTTTATTAACTGAGATGATATCATACCAGGACTCTTTCTGCACTTGGAGGCATTTGCTCTTGAAATAAGGAGGGATTTTTTTTAAGAGAAGACAGCTGTCAAAGTGACAGCTGACTGAAGGTCAGATTTTTAATTCCAGAACAAAAATGCCCCCCCGTACAAGGCATAGGAACTGTTCAACAGAGTTTTAAATATACATTTCCCTGTAATCTTCCATAATTGCTGTATAGGCTGATCCTTATGAGAAGCATATGTTTGGAAGCTTGCCTTTGGGCAGCCTGTCTGATTCAAACACTTCCATTCTTTTTGCCTTGCATTAGGAACTGGAGGCATCTACCACAGCATCCACTGCACTTCTTGGGAACCAAGCAATAAAGCTATCCAATTCAAAGAGAAAGAGATGTAATGATACTTCTTAGCCTCTTCACTATAGTACTAGAGCTTGCTGTGGGAGATGGGGAAGAGATGGGGAGAAAGAGACTGCAGTCTGTCTGGCCAGGAGACTCTTCCTCAGGATCTTTTCTTTCACAGACTCTTTTTAAAAATTTACAGCAATATTAACCCCCAGTGATTGTACTGCTGGCCAAGTATCCTTGGGATAAACCAGAATCCACTCATTGTTATTTTACTAATGTTCCCAACTCTTTTTGGTGGTATCAATGAACTCAGACCTGTTCCCAAGGAGTGCAGAAGGGGTACAGCTTGCTGCTGCCATGTGCTGAATCCTTATTAGCCCATGACTGCAGATTGTAATTCTGCCTCTCATTGCAGGGTCAGGCACAGAATTGCCCATGCTTATTTTCCCACCGGTGGAAACACTTACTTTGTTCGACTGCTACAGACTTTTCATTAAAGAGCTTTTTAAAGCTATTCCAAGAGAATTTAGTTGCATAATTATCAAGTGAATGGCTTTCTTCCACCCATTTAAGTGCTAGCCATAGCATGGACAAAGCATGTTTATTTGGCTGTGCACACGGTGGCTGCAGTGGGTGGCAAATTTTGCTTTAACTGTATTTAGAATTTACTTTCAGTTGAAAACCTGGTTCCTGGAATTGAGGCGGAGGAGGGTAGCCTGGAGACTAGAACACGATTAAGAACTTAGGCAAGAGTCTTGGGTAGAGATTCATAATAATAAATATCCAACAATCGAAAGTAACTAAACAACCAAAAAGTGCTATTTTCTCCTCAAGTGAAAGTAAATCTTTAGCCTTGCCTCACTCTTCGTGTTTTCTTTCTCTTCTCCAGTACTGATACTTTCCTTCCTCCTCCACTCTGCCACATTTGTCAATGCTTTCCAAGTGGCATGCACTTTGTTTCAGATTGGCTGTACCACACAGATATGTCAGAGTGTATGGTCAGGTAGATGGGGACAGGAATTGGTGAGTACTGGTGCCTTCCTAAAATCACCTCAGGAGGCAGAAAGGAAAGGTTCCATACACCAGGCAATTACTCATCAGAGTGTTAGAATAGCACACGTCCCCAGCTGTATACAGAATAGTCATTTATTAAGAATAAATAGATTCGAGCAAAAGCTTGCCTGACAGTGCACATAGGAGCACAATGCAGTGCAGATTATAGAATCACAGAATCATAGAATTGTATGAGTTGGAAGAGACCATGAAAGGTCATCTAGTCCAACTCCCTTGCAGTGAACAGGAACATCTACAGCTACATCAGGTTGCTCAGAGCCCCCTCCAGACTGAGCTTGAGTGTCTCCAGGGATTGGACATCTACCACCTCTCTGGGCACTCAGATGGGAACGCTGTGCATGAAGCTGCAAAGGCAGCAGCAGCATACAAAAGATCTTTTGGTTCTGCTATACAAAACCACTGATGGGATGTATTTGGTAAGAGAAGAGGGTGAAATAAATGCAGCCGCAGTCAAACCTCTTAAGATCTGTGGGAGTGTGTGAACTGTCTAAGTGTTCAGAGATAATTTCAATCAATTCTCCAGCCCATTGATGTTGATTTCTTTGCAGCTGCTAGGAAGCTGGAAAAGTTCTAAAGCTCTACAGTAAAGCAAAATACTGTATTAGCAAGTAAACTAACCAGTCTCAAGCCACTGCATTTTTACAATGTATTTGAGTAGGATAGGATCATATGAAGTACCATCAACAGAGAAACTTCACAGAGGGGACACTTTCATTCCAAGGCATTTGGCTGTAATCCAGTCACAATCTACATTTTTAATAAGAATTTTTGGTTACTAACATTGACAGAACTGGCCCCAACAGGATATCTGTCTGTGTTTTAAATGCTGATAAAAGCAAAATTTTAGCTCAAAAAATATCAAGGTACCTCTCCTATAACGGCAGGCTGAGGGAGCTGTTCCTGGAAATGAGATGGCTCTGGAGAGACCTGCCAGTATTTCACAGGAGCTTATAAACAGGAGGGAAAGCAACTTTTTACATAGGTAGACAATGACAATACAAGGGGGAATGATTTTAAACTAAAAGAGGGGACATTTAGATTAGATGTCAGGGGAAATTTTTCAGAGCGAGTGGTGGAGTGCTGGAAGATGTTGCCCAGAGAAGCTACGGATGGATGTTCCATTCTTGAAAGTGTTGAAGATCAAGCTGGATAGGGTCCTGGGAAGTCTGATCTGGTGCCTGATTTAGTGGGTGGCAACCCTCCCCATAGGGGGTTGGAATAGGATGAGCTTTGAGATCTCTTCCAACCTAAGCCATTCTATAACTCAATTACATGGGTTATACAGTGACTAGCTGCTTTGGAGGTTACAAAAATGAGAACATACAGGAAACAGTCTACCAAAGTGGCAGCTTTTAGTGGGGTCTGGCAGAGATCTATTAGTTTCACTCTGTGCCAAAAATTAATGTAACTTACGACTGATGTGATGGGAAAACATGCAGGAATGAGGGTGCACAGAAAAATACTCTTAGGTTACAGAAGATTTCCCATGGAATGTGTGGCCACAGTACAGATAAGATGCCTGATGCGACCTTTAGATATTAAGGCACTATGCATTCACGGTGCACCTATATTTCTGAACAGATCACATGCCCAGGAAAAAGAATGGAAGAAACGGCAAATTTTACATAGCACTGTGAATCACCAACCAGCAGGAGAGGGAGCGAGAAGCAAAGGGAGTTGTTAAGCACCTACATTCACATGGTAAGTCTTCACTCTAATCATAGTCTTAATTTTCCATAGGTGCATGGATATAAATGGATCTTAGCCAAAGGCAAACCCAATGTTTTTCATGATATGATAGAATACAAACAACATCCTGAAAACAATTATGCACTGCATATCCTTGCACTACCGAGCCTGAAAAATTTGCCCTTGGATGTGTCTTTACATTAGACACAGTTGCAAAGCAAGGGATCATACTCAAATGAAGCACTAGTGGTAAAAAGACCAAAAAATCCCTAATAAAACTATTCTCTCTACTCTACAAGAATGTTCATAATGAAAGATACCAAATCTCCAGAGTGTTGTCAATAAGACAAAGTTAGGGTGCTTTTTCTGGGGAAGGGGTATGAATTAACACTTCCACACGTAAATTATTCTGTTAACGTCCTCCTTTCTTCAGTTTGTGGCAAAAAAGAAAAAATTAACTCAGTTGTAACCTCCAGCTCTATTCTTAATAGTAAGAAACAGGTTCAACTAAAGTTACAGGCTATGTAACTACCTCTCTGTCATACACCATGGGTACACAGGGAAATGAAAAAGCACAAACTATAGCTTATCTTTAGGACTTTTTTAAAATAAAAATGCTATATTTAATAAACCTGAAAGGCCAAAAATACTGCCATAAAATCTGGAAAAAGAGCATGTATGAATAAGGATGTTCTTTAAAAACACAAAATTTGGAAAGAGATAAAGAGACGGGATGATAAAACCCTGGCCCTAAAGATTTCTGTGCTTCACTTGGGTGGGTCCATTGAGCCTGAGCTGTGCAGCTCCAGTAAACCAAAGTGCTAATACATCCTCAGGGAAGACCCTGACCCTCAGACATGGCACAGACACAGCTGAGCAAGTGCTGAACGACACTGCTCTGATTTAGAAGGACTTCACTAATTACTTTCCAGAAATGTCAGTGACTGCTCAGATTTGTGCTGACCTGTTTCTTAAGACCTTTAGGAAATCTCAGTCTTCTCATCAGTCATTGCTAGCCTAGAGGAACTTCTGTGCCCACCAAAAGGCAAAAGGTCTTTTTTTTTTTTTTTAAATCTGTATCAGGAGAACTAGATCATTCAAGTATCAGATTTTTTCTTAGTATCTCTCTTAAGTCACATGTAGATGAGTGCATTCATCTATTTAAACTACATTATTTCTTACAAATGGTGCTGGAAAAAGATGCATATATTCTAATAACTAAGCATTAAGGCACTCTGCTAACCTCCTGAAGTCTCAAGAGCTTGCTCAGTGAGGGCTCTGTTTTTGTGAAATAAGATATTTCAGCAAATGGAGGCTTCTCTGTGTGTGTGTGCGTGTGTGCACACACGTGTGTGAAGGTTAGCTTCTCTACTGCTCAGGATTATTTTTGTGCAGTGCCAAAACACAGTTAAAACTCCATGTGTTTTCGTGGAGCAGGTAATAGGAGGCAATAACTTCTATCGGAAATCAGGTTTGCTGACACTGATGTAACACATGACTCAGACTGGTAATTTCTTTAATTTATTCTGTTTAACAAGTTTTTAAGTTACCCAGGTACCAAACAGGAGTCTGACAGCTCTCAACTCAGATAATATGCTGCCAATGTTACTAGGATACCTTAGGGAAAGAGCTTATTCTAGGTCCAAACAAGCATAGTGCTCCCTTCATCTTTGTCCCACAGCAAGACTTGTTGAGATCTTAGAGAATCATGTCAAATCATATCATGGAATCATAGATTGGGTTGGATTGGAAGGGTCCCTAAAGATCACTGAGCTCCAGCCCCCCCGCCATAAGAAGGGCTGCCCCCCACCAGACTGCTGGGGCATCAAGAGTTTCTCTGGGCAGCCTGTGCTAGTGCCTCACTACCCTCTAAGTAAAGAATTTATTCCTAATATCTAACATAAGTTTCCCTTCTTTTAGTTTAAACCATTCCCCCTTATCCTATCGCTATCAGACTCTGTAAAACATCTGTTCCTCTCTTGCTTATAAGGCTCCCTTCAAGTGCTGGATGAACGCAATCGGGTTTCCCTGGAGCCTTCTCTTCAGGCTAAAAGAGCTAAACTTTTTCAATAGGAGAAGTGCTCCAGCCCTCTGATCATCTCCACTGCCCTCCTCTGGACCCACTCCAACAGTTCCACATCCTCCCTTTGCTGGGGTGGGGCCTGGACAGTGTTCTCCAGATGGGGCCTTATGAGGGCAGAGTAAAGGGGGACAATCACCTCCCCCTCCCTGCTGGTCACCCCTCTTTTGATGCAAAGTGTAATACATGAATTCATTATATAGGTTTCTAGAAAGCGAAGCTGATACCATAGGACCCTCTCTCCTCTATGACTCTTAACCGGTGCTTTGTGCCATACTCTGATTCCAGATACATTATTGTTTCTAGTGAAAAGCTTTCCATGCCCCACTCAGATTCAGCTGCTATGGTAACACCGAAAAGCTCAAAGACTGTTTTTATTTCTCAGTTAGATTAAGACCAGAACAACAAACAAATGACTACGCACATCATGAACCACTATGTCTTGTGCATGGAAAGACTTGCACTGTTGACAATGGTCAAAGTGGGTGTGTACCTATGTTCATCCTCATCTCTACTGTATGCTGGTGGTTAGACCTTGCACTATGGGTATTACTGACAAATGAAAAAAGTACATTAGGTTGTTTTGGTGCACTGAAGGACCTAGTGACTCTAAAACCATCTGATTTTGGTGGGGATGGTGAGCTGCAAGCAAGGAGGCATCACAGGACAGCAATTCTGCCTGCTGGTTCTTCAGCAGGTTGCCATTCACACCTCCTATGCTGATGTTTCAGCTGCGCCTGTAGGTGGGACTGGCTGGAAACATTTTCAGTGAAGGCCTTCCCATAAAAACAATTGAAAGAGAGATATAGCTTTTGATGCAATGTACTCATCTTAATTAATATTTTATCAGCAGAGTGGGTGAAATCCATGACGGAATTTACATTTCAAAAAGTGTGAGCACACAAGCACATGTATACAAGACTGCGGGACGCCTCTTTCTCTACCAGTACATAACATCATGCTACTTACTGTTCTGGAGAGTTGATGTCTTCTATAGGATCTTTGCTTGTTCTGGAAGGGTCTGATGTGCCCCATTGTGCTGGTGGATTTTGATCAAGATGATTTTTCAAGATTGCTTTCTCACCATCTAGATGGATAACACATTCAATTTTATTTTAGTGTGACCAAGTGACCTCTGTAAAATTGGTTCATTATAAGATATCGCAGATGTAAATTGTGCCACAAAATAAAACTCATTCTGCCTATATTGCAACATATGCTCAGGTTTCCTTGTGAGTCTTTGATGCTCTTAACTTTGGAAATATGACTTTCATTGCAATTATCATGAAGAAACAAAAGTAAAAAATTCTCTTCTGTTCTTCTTTGCTTTCTACCTCCCCCCTCAACTCTACTTCTCTCTTTTTAATATTTTGTTCCTTGCCTCTATGTAGCCCTATCATGCTCCTTCCCCCAGTTTATTCTGTGAAAAAATATAACAGCCGCATCATCATACTGTCTTTCCTTCAAATATTGTTACCTTTCTATATTAAAAAACACTCTAATTTAAATATTTACCCAGAAAAACTGTAATTTCATCGATTTATGAAACTCCAGTATGCTTGATATCTCATAAGAAATTAAGTGCTGTCATTCAACTATCTGCTATGATTTAGCACAGAAAAATCATTCATATCAGCTGCACTGGCCCATGGACTGTCTGCAAGAAGGACAGTTAATGATTTCATTAAGCTTTCTTCTGCATTTTTTTTTGTGGTTTTTTTTTTTTTTTTTTTTTTTTTTTTTTTTAAACTTCAGAGTGGTAACAGAGAAGATCATCATTTTCCCTGCAGGTAGCATCACTTAATTCCCATGGGAGTCCCAGGAGGCTGAGGCTAGCTGTGCTGAGGTCTGTGGCATATATCCATCCCTCTCTGCAGGAGGAGAAGAACACAGCCATTTAAAGAAGGCTGTCTTAACTGGATATCCCTTCTGTTCTTGTCTGCTTTTCCAACGTTTCCTGCTGTGCTAAGCCAAGGAAAGTTACAAGAAAAACATCTGAGTAATGAGGACAGTGCAGAGTTTTCATAAATAATTACAGAGCTGCTCCAAATCCATCACAGGCAGTTGTTTGCTACGCACACAGAAACAGTGGTTGCTGCAGGCCTTAAGGCAGCATGGAGAAGGACTCAGAGGTAGACACTAGAAAAGGATCCTGGAGGAACTGAATGAAAAAAATAAGCATAAGAGGGAAAAGTAGGAAAATACCTGAAAAAGAAAACCAACAAAAATACCATGGAAAGCCCAGTGCATACTGAAGGCTTAAGCTACATTTCTGCTCTACTAACACCAAGCCCCAGATAACAGGGTATCCACCACCTCTCTGGGCAGCACTGGGATGGGATGCATGGAGGGGAAGTGGAAGCCCATCCCTGGAGACACTCAAGATCAGGCTGAGTGGTGCTGTGAGCAACCTGATGTAGCTGTAAGTGTCCCTGCTCATTGCAGTGGAGCTGGACTAGGTGGCCTTTAAGGGTCCCTTCCAACTAAAATGATTGATAAAATTCATATCCCATTACTTTACCAATGTACAGACTTAGGACTGCTACAGCTCAGAAGTGCAAAAAGAAGATTCTTATGTTGCATGGAAGGCAAGGGGCTGGATGAGACAGGAGACAACCAACGCACACAAAGCTGCTTCTGTTAAGTCAACAAAAATGTCAGGAAAAGAGCTAAGGGGTTCATGTGTAGCAAGAAGGGAGGTGCTTTAAGAGGAGATGTGACAGGATTCAGTGATGTGAAGGGAGGACAAGGACTCAAATCTGACAGCGGCTAAGATAAGAAGAAGTGAAACCTATCATCTCAGGACAGCCTGAAGTTTGCTGGTGTGGCACTCGCTGTCACAAGAGCTCAGTTTTTGTTTTCCATATATCACATTTCTATGTATATTGAGCTTGACATTTGCATAAGAGCCTTGTGATGTCTATAAACAGACAACTAAAAAAACCTCTTATTTCCATGATTAAAAACAATGTCCAATGCTGAGCTGATCCAAGCTGACAATGAAAAATGCTGACTTGATGACAAAGACCAAAGTTAAAATTCAAATAATCCCTGAAAATAGGGATGGAAAAGGCCTATTATTTTACCATTCCAGGGCCCCAAGTCTTTCGGCCAAGAGAAATAACTTGCAAAGCCACTGAAGGTAGAACTCTTCACCAAATGACTGGAATACACAAGTGCCAGACCTTGGGAGTACATGATTTCAGGGATTAATCTGTATTGTATGCCCTGGATGGATTTATTACGCTTTCAGTTGTGGGGTGTGTGTGTGTGTGTGTGTGTGTGTGTGTGTGTGTGTGTGAGAGAGAGAGAGAGAGAGAGAGAGAGAGAGAGAGAGAGAGAGAGAGGAAGGTGGTCCCTTGTAAAAAGGTGGGGGTTCTAGTTTAAAGTAGAGCAGAAATTACATGTTCTATGCCTACTCACCCTTTACACCAACTGCCTATATATCACTCTGCGTGTTATTCTTAATAAACCCTTTCCTACCACTCTTGCAGATGACTCTTTCCATACACTGCATGTATTTCTGTACATACACAAGTTTTAATATTCCGTGTTAAGGAATACAGGCAGAATCCACAGACTGCCACAATATTAAGACTTTTTTTCTGTTCCTTATTTCTCCTTTCAAAATACAAAACAGTAGTGTAATACTTATTCGTTGTCAAGAGCTCTGAGCTATTTGGAAAAGGAGGTGTTAGATATTTATTATGCAGCTATGGAAACTAGAATTTTTTTTTCCCCATTTACCTTTCATGTCAATAATGAAGATCAAGATTCTCACTTAGTAATATGCTTCCAGGAGCTGGAACTGAAAGAAAACCCACTATCTATCACCACATGCACTTAAACAACTTAAGGCTGGAGGAAACTGATTTTATATAGAGGAACAACTGAAAGCAAATGAATTAAAGGTAATGGCAAATATTTGATCTCCTGATTTCTCTGAAGTTTAGCACTTCTGTTAGTGCTTCCCATCTTTTCTTCCACTGTTCATTAAGCATTCCACATGAAAAATGCCCTTCATTCTCAGGGTACTGTCTGCCATTGCAGATGCTACTGAATATGTTGCACTCAGATGATCTAAATGCTTTCAAAATTGAATTTACATTAGCCAGAAGCAGTTTCTATGTAATTTTCACCTTCTTAGACCTCAAACAGGAACTCAAAAGTCTGAATAAATGATGCCTGAGCACTTTCCATTCAAAAAACCATAGGGGAAAAAAGAAAAATAGATCTCAAGTGCTTCACACAGCACTCTATGATTGGTTCATTAGAAAATAAAACCTTCTACTCAGTTGTCAGCAAGAGTCAGGAGGTTTTAGGTTGGGACTTTTGCCCACATCAGCAGAGAAATTACTTCCAACAGCCAAGATCTGAGCTGCACAGGCACATCGTGTTACTGCTGTGGAGAGGCTTAACCAAGGGATCATTGTTGCCAGCTGCTTGCCAGAGGTGACTCCCTCCTTAGCACTGCCATCCCAATAACACCCCACAGCCTGGCTCCCTCAGCATTATCTGTTCATAAAATCCAACAATGGCTTGGGTTGCAAGGGATCTCAAAACCCACCCAGCCCCAACCCATGGGCAGGGCTCCTCCTCACCAGCTCAGCTGCCCAGGGCCCCATCCACACCTTGAGTGTTTCCAGGGATGGGGCACAACATTTTCCCTGGGCAGCCTGTGCCAAGGCCTCACTGTCCTCTGAGTAATTAATTTCTTTCTAAGATCTAACCTAAATATCCTCTAAGTTTAAAGCCATTCCTCCTTAACCTTCACTATCAGACTGTGTAAAAAGTTGGTCCCTCTCCCACTTGTAAACTCCCTTCATGTACTGGAAAGCTGCAATAAGGTGCCCCTAGAGCCTTGTCTTCTCCAAGCTAAAGAAACCCAGTTCCCTCAGCCTGTCTTAGTAGGAGAGCTGCTCTAGCCCTCTGATCATCTGTGTGCCCTTACTCTGAACCCACTCCAACAGCTCTGCATCCTTTCTTGCTGGAGGACCCAGACTTGGATGCAGTACTCCAGATGGGGCCTCATGAGGGCAGATTAGAGGGGCACAATCACCTCCCTATCCCTGCTGGCCATCCCTACTTTGGTGCAGAGCAGGATAATGTTGACCTTCATGCATTTTAACTAATGCTAATCAGCTGTAAACAGAAAGCACTACCACAGGTGCAATTTCTTCTAGGATTTTGGGAAGCCCAGTTCTTCACATAACAGATTTTTGGTTGGCATTTGTGCACTGTAGCTTTATAGAACATTTTCATTATTACACTTTAGCAGCAATACTCCTCCATTGGCTTATAACTTGTGTCAGGACTGCAACTCACCCCACATTTTTCAATTCCACCACTGTTTCCTCTTTGCTAGTAAACACATTTTATGCGCCACAAAGATGTAAACATGGTTTAATGATGACTTACGAGATCTGGCAGAGATAACTTAGTCAATTTGGTAAAGAACACTGAAAACCTTAATGCTAAAGGCAGATTTTTAAAATTTACTGCATTTTTCCATGTTCCTGGGAAACTAGGAAGACTTCCTTCCATGTTATTGGGAAACTAGATCAGTCACTTTCTGCTTTTTATGCAAACAGGATGGAAAGAAAATAAAACCAAAAGACAAATCAAAATGCTCACACCATCTGCTGGGTACATCTGAAAAAGTTCTCCATAGCAATGCCCACAGCACTCAGGAAGTCTAAGTCATGACTTCTCATAGTTACGTTAGGAATTCCTTTTTAATAGACAGCCAATAGGATTCTTTTCTGATTTTTACTACTGGGAATCAGAAGAAACTCCCTTTACTACAGATTCATTTCTGTGCAAGGAAAAGCAGAAACTGAACATCAGGCAGTTTGGTCTCCCCATAGAAATAGAAACAACCTCTAATTTCATGATTGAAATCCATTCGCTAGGCTTCATGGAAACTGGTATCTCAGTCTCTATATAAGGAAATAAAGAACTATCTTTTCTTTTTTTAAAAAAAAAAAAAACCAACACATTCCTTAAAGCCTTGTGCATCAGTGTTTTGAAAAGCCTTCCTTTGAATCTGTGTTTTCAATCTCAAGTTTAATGCTTGAATAAAATCAGCTTCATATAAATGTTTTTCCCTCTACTACAGATGAACTCTGCTTTGCTTTGCATTTGCTAGCAACACTCCTTTGAAATCTGTTTTTCTTTGAGCTACTTTTACTTGAGGAGAAATACTAAGAAACACCAGTGAGGTGACAACTGACAGTATGTAGGCATAGCTGACATGCCAATGAATACTCCCAGTCCATTTACAGCAGCGAGTAAAAACCAACACTGGTTCTAAACACAAATGACTTTCTGAGCAAGCTTGGGTGCCTGCAGTGAGAGAAATTGCATGAGTGGGGACCACTGCATGTCTGCACTTTGCTTCTTTCTGTACTTCCCATAGTAGTGTTGCCATTCATTAATTTTTGTAATATACTGCTCTGAAACACGCTGGCAAAAGTCGCAATAAATGGAGATTTGACTGGAGGATATTTTATCAGTTTGACTTTATGAGAAACTCTCACTATATATGAATCATTCATGTAGAAATAATTTCATTTAAGGAAATGTCAGATGGAAGTCAAATAGAATATGATTGTAGGATTTTAAGGGTAACAAAATTAGCCAACCCAAAAAAACATGCAGTATCTTACCACTGCATTTTTCTTACAGAATCAAATTCAATCCTGATGCACATGCACTTTCCACTTACTTATAGCTATCAGAATTTGTTCCTTGGAGAGGAGAAAGAAGTTCAGAAACTGATGAAAATGAGTAGAAAAGCCAAGAAGGAACCTCTTACAGTGGTTTCTTCCATTTATTTACTGAAAACACCTGCTGTTAAGTGTTGTGAAAAGCTATTCCGAAAACCACATGGTTGAGCTCCTTGTTATGGCATATAGGGGCTCCGGAAACATGGTGGCTGATGCCCTGTACTGCAACATCTGTAGGGAAAACCCCAGGAAACACGGCCCAGGTTGCTCTGGCTCTGAGGAGGCTCTAGGCATAAATCTTGGAATATTCTTTCTTATGGGGTCTGGAGTATACTTATTTATGGTACCAGAGCTAGGGAGCTGTGGTAAAAGCCTCAGTGCTCTAGCTTATGGCAACTTCTAGGGAGTGCGGTGATAACCTCAGTAACTTTTATCTGTGCGATAGCTCTCACAGTAGAAATAACTTCAGCCTTCCTAGAGCATTCCTTACTTATGCTTGAACACCGGCAGCCTCGGGCCATGACCATTGCCCTGGGGATCCTATCCTTTGCCCACTGCCCTCTGGTGAAGAACCTTTCCCTAATGCCCAACCTGACCTTATCCTGACACTGCTCCATGGTGTTCCCTCAGGTCCTGTCACTGTGAACTTGAGGGAATGCCCCATGCAAACAATTTATATGCAACTGGGAAGCCATCTGAGGTCACATTCCGTGGAGCATGCTAAGAATTGCCTGACTGCACAAAGCTAATACTGCCAAAGATAAAAGCCTGCATTAAAAAAGAAAACAAAACAAAAAGCAATCAAACCATAAACTGCAATCCACATTTTCTTAATTGCTTTTCTTATATGGCCAGTTGCTATAGATATCTTGGGAACATAATGGGTTTGTGAATAAGAGATGAGCATCCTAGATAATCTCTCTTTTTAAATGAGACATATTGAATTAAAATGTGCTGTAAAGAAGGAGTCCCCATTCCAGTAAAGAGTGAGCTACACTAGCAGCTATTACTAGCAACAGCTAACTAGGGCCCCCAAAGTTATAAGGCTTTGCCAGAGATCAGGCAGTTATAGGAGAGCACATCTGGATCTACATACTCTGGTTAAAGTCATGTAGTGTTAGGCTCCTAAATCTGTATTTGAGGTAATTGGCAGGGGTGGGAAGGGATGAAAAGAATCAGGTAACCTCCTTTGGCACTCAGCTATAGGCTGGAAGTTTTGACTCTGGGCAATTTTTACAGATCAGAAATCTACTGAAGTGTGCTATGACATTAAAGTTTCATTAGGACTTGTTAGAAATGCATTGCATAAATCCTGCGTTATTATCTGTCCTCTGAAGTGCAGTGCTCTGGGTTTGTGTAAGCAATAGGGCTATGCTGCATTGCATGTGTGAACTTCTCCAGAATAGCAAGGAGTTTTGCGAGGAGGATTGACACAGGATTCAGCCATGTCCACCAGATCAGTGGCAAGTGATCTGCTACAATCTTTAGCTCTAAGTCAGCTGTTAACTTTAGCATCTCTCTTCACTACATTACTACCTATTTCTCAGCTCACACTTTCTACAAGGCCCAAGCTAGGCAAGAACCTTGTCATCACCCCTAAGCCACATTGGGCAGGCTTTCCCTTTTGCAAATGGAGGTGACACATGGCCCCTTCTAGGTCATGATAATAAAATATTAGCATCTTTGGAAGCTTGGCAAAGTACCATCAGAGATGCATAATTTCAGGGTTCCGTACTTGCATTTACAGAAAGTAATATGAAATGCATGGCTACAGAAAACATAGTTATGTCAGACAGAGTTAGCTTTCCCATAGCCATAAGGGCCAGAATTTCTTTAAGTAACGTTTAAGTGATGTCTGTATGCATCTGCACAGAAGCAGCAGTGATTCAGCAGCATGAGTACTCCAAAGCCTTATTATTTTGATTGCATTAGCAAATTTAAATTAAGCACATAGGTTGACTATTGAGATAAGATGCAGGGAGAAACACAGAGGAGACTCAGATGTAGCAAAGGAAGGGAAACAGGCAAAAAGCAGAAGACATAGGCACGGAGGGGAAGAAGATCCTATCATGAGTTATTTAATGTGGCGACTCAAAGATTGGAGGTTTGAATATCAAAGTACTATGTAATACTCATATTTGGGGCATTTGCCCTCAAGTGTGAGACTAAGCTTTGGAAACTGCTGGCTGGAAACTGAGATCCAGGTTGCCCGCATCCCCCACATCAATGCTCTAACATACTCAGTGCAAACATGACCAAGGAAAACCATCTTTCTCTCCCTCTCTTCCTTGAGCTTTATGCAGTAGGTCTATTCAGAAAACTGTCCAGCAACTACAGTATGCAGGAGAATATCTATTCTGTAAATCCCAATTGCATGCAATTCCCATCTACTGAGGACATAAAGACTCGTTACATAAAGGTGTTCTTAAATATATACTCAAAAGCTGAAAAGTAGAAGTTAAGGTACCAATCAAGGATCAACTTGGGAATGCAGACAATCTTGGATACTGGTACTTAAAGCAGCAGTACACATCATTGTTTTCTGTAAACATAGTCACAAATACGTGCATAAAGGTTATACTTCTTGATTTCTTCGCCAGCATCCTACTGCTAATGGGGTGCAACCTGCTGTGGGAAGCATCCAGTCCTAAATTTATATCCAACGTATCTCTTGAGAATCATTTTTGTCTCCCATATCTAAACTTAGATGGCCTGTTGGCACGATGCAACGTATCTTTTCTGCTTGAAATATTATTCATGATTTATAATTTTTTCCCAAAGCATCTGACATGAGTGGAACATTCTATGTGCTCCTTTTGAACACTTGGTAAAACTGCCTCATCCCACTCAGTGATGCTAGTTCTTGTTGCTGATCTCAGCCCAATAATCACACGCCTCCAGCAGCTATTTACGTTTTCCTTTTCCTCCTTGTCTTCCTTTCCCCCCTTCTGTTTTTCAATTTTAAAAAGGACACTGGGAACCCTGTAGAGCTCTTCCCTTTTTTTTTTTTTTTCTCTCCAAAGTTACACAACCAAACATATACCCGGGCTAAAACAAAGAACACCATGAGAACATAAACTTTCCCAAGTGCTCTTTCAGTATACTTCAAAAACACATATGAAGAGTTGCTGTTGTTTTAAAATAATTCTTCAACAACTATATTCACAGGAGTAGTTTTAGTTTCACATAACCAATAGAGAACCTGAGCACAGCTTTGCAACTGTACAACTTTCCTATGCAGGGCTTTTTTCATCTAATATAATAATATTCAGCTGTACAAAGTCATTTGCCAAAATTCACAGAGTAGATCAATTCTACAGTCAGAAATGGAAACTGGGTGTCCTGGCTTCCACTTTATTGTCCTATACACCAGATCTTATTGCTTCCCAAAAGTGAAATAGCTTTAATGGAACCAGTTCTTTCACATATATTTCTTCAGGGACCTATGCAAGAGACCTGGTAGAAACAACTTAGGAATATTTCAGTAGTCATGAAATCCTTTTTTATCAGTTCCTAGGGAAGAATTTTCATACATGAGTGCCTTCAATTCTACATTTAGAGTCCAAATCAGCACTGAAATATTTACATGCTACTATTCTATGTACTTTATAGCAGTGTCCCAAAACAAAATTTGAACATCTATTCAAATGAGCACATATTAAATTGGGCTTCCTGCTGTTGATGGCTGGCACAATTAACTCTTACAACATCTGAAGCATTGTACAATTCCATCCATTCTGAACACAAATTTGTTTTTAAAAGTTTCCTACTTCACCTTGTGTACTATACACTTAAGGCATACAGTAGAAGAGATATGTACAGAAAAATCACTACTTACTATCATACAATTTATAATATGACTCTGCATGCTTTCCACTACACAACCAAAACATTTGAAGTGTATCTCACTAAGATATGAGCACTCTGGAACCAATCCAATGAGATTGGCATTCCAGTATTCAAAACCTTTTCGGGTTAAGCTAATAGATTTCACTCTCACCTTTGCTGTCTGTAAAGTTCCGTATACTGAGAATGTCATTGAGATCCTGATAGTGGTTCTGCTTAATGTACGTTGTTTTCTCAGGTGTGTCCTGAAGCTGCATTGTGACCTCTTCTAGGTCTTTGTCCAGCTGCAAAACAGAAAGAGTATGAATTGCCAAGGATCATAGCTTCAAGTTCCTGCAATAACTGCATAGCTTTCTATAGTTAGACCAGGAGCAGGTGGTCACGCAATCAGCACATCGTATCAAATACAGTGTTCCTATAGCATTACAACAATACCTCTAAAAATCTGGCTACAGGTAGCAGTGACAAAGCACACAGGGCATACAAAAAAAAAAAAAGCAAGCTCCAATAGTTGATGGTTTAATTAATTCCAGGTGTACTACAGAATAAGGAAGAAATGAGTATTAGAATGCTCAGTCTGAAAACCTCTAAACTGATTATTATCTATGCATTCAATGGGCATACATCACTGTAACTCTTTTGCCAATCCAAATAAATTAGGGCTTGGGATGCTCTCTGTGAACAGCTGTCCAGGATGCGGTGTCCAACTTACCTCTGGCTTAAACAAATTTTATAAGTGCTGGATTTAAATTTACATTGCTTCCTTATAGAACTTGGCTATAGCAAGGTAAATAATCCGGAGATGCAGCTACTAGCTATGGTAAGACATGTTTTAAGCTACCTTAACAATGAAATTCCTATTTGGACCTACAGGATCAAAGTATTTAATTTAATCTATTTAAGTAAAGTCTAACAAGAGTATCAGGGCCCTGTGTGCATTAATACAGCTCAATTGCCCTCTCCAGCCTTACCTGTGAGCACTGTCACAAGCCTTACAAGGCTCAGGTGGGATCTCATGAGTTAGGAGGCTTAGTAGAAAAGCTATAGCAGGATATAAACACTAAGATAGCCAGTAACAAGCAGGGCCTTCAAATATTGCAAGGTTGTCACATGAAAGGTATCTAAACAAACTGAAGAACTACATTTCTTTAAACGGGGATAGCTTTTGCTTTGAAATCTTTGATAGCCTGAGTAAATATCTTTTTGTTACCTAAGCAATCGTCCTTAATTAAGATAGGGATAAAGAAGTTACAGTTGAAATAGAATACCTTTTCTTCAAGGTATAAGAATACTTCAGAACACAGGCAAAAAGAAAATCATTTTTTATAGTAGTTAGAGCAACTATGGATATCTTGCCACACAAAATGGACAAACTTCACTGTTGATTTGCCATTGTTTGAAGTCTCCGGAACAAGGATGGACATAATGAAGAATACCCATTTTATAGCTTAAAGGGGATTTGTGTATTTCACACGTGATCTCTTAGACTGCCAGCAATGGCAGTCGCTGAACTTGGCCGTAAATAGAAACAAAGACAGCTCTTATGTGCCCTTGGGACTGCAGGCCTCTTTTAAACTAGCTTGTAAAGGTTGCCCTTCTACCACTACAGCTGTATGGCATCCAGCATGTCCATATGAGGCACCTGGCATAAAGAACTACAGGAAGTTTTGTCTTAATTTGCTATGGCATAATTTCAATTTATCACATCCTCTAAGCATTGAATGTAATAATTAGCTATTCATATAAATAATGTTTCCTATTATTCCAGTATTTTGCTAACAGGCAAAGACAATTTTTTTCTCCAAAAAGTAGGGAACATTTAAAAAGATTACAAAAAAACTGCAAAGAAGTCGCAGAGGCAATATGCATCAAATAAGCAGTACCTCTGTAATTTTCATTCTCAAGCGGTGGTTCTCTGACTGCAGTCCTTCTAGTCGAGAGGTGCTGGCCTGATTGACACTGGTGACCGACGTCGATGTTTTTGAGTCTTCTTTCTTTTGATTTTGAGTGAACTGAAATCTTCTGTTCTGCGTGGCTGCATCGGGATTTGTCCGCAATGTGATGAGCTGAAAGGTTTACAAGCCTTAAGAAATCCTGTAGAAGGTTTTGTGTTTGCAGCTAGTTCTTTTGTACCCCAAGTATTTGAAAGGTGTTCCTTTCTGACTTTCAAATACAAAACACTGGAAAGTGAGTAGTACCTGAGGCAATTTCTGAATAAATTCACAGAATAGGTAGAATTAGAATGATTTTGCAGAGGGAAGAGTTAAAAAAAAGTTCACAAAATCACAGAACTGCCCAGATTGGAAGGGACCTCAAAGATCATGAATCTCCAATCTTCCTGCCACAGGCAGTACCACCAACCTCCCTATTTAATACTAGACCAGGTTGCCCAGGGCCCCATCCAACCTGACCTTGAACACGTCCTCACAACCTCTCTGGGCAGCCTGTTCCAGCACCTCACCACTCTCTCTGTGAAGAACCTCCCCCTAATATCCAACCTAAATCTTCCTTCCCTCAACTTAAAGCCATTTCCCCTTGCCCTACTGTTATCTACCCTTTCAAAGAGTTGACTCCCCTCCTGTTTGTAGGCTCCTGTATAATCAGTGAATATATGGATATACAAGAAAGTTAGGCTAAACAGGTTATCAGGCTAAACAGGTTATCATGCTAAAGAAGAACAGATAGAACGCTTACCCTTGTCCTGGGCTTGCTGAGAAGACTCCAAGAGGAGCAATCTCCAAAAGAGATCCCCACTCGTAGTCAGCTCTTAAATGGGGTCTAGGAGAGGTGGATCCATGCTCCACCCCTTCCAGCAGCACAGCTGAATTGCCTTCAGCTGTGCACCCAGGGCTGAATCATTGCTTGCCTCAGGTGCTCTATCAGAGGTTCAGGCTGTGGTTCAGCAGTTCCTGTACAGCTCCCTCTAGGTACTGGAAGGCTGCAATTCGGTCACCCTGCAGCCTTCCTTTCTCCAGGTTGAACAAGCTCAGCTCCCTTAGCCCCTCATTGTAGGGGAGTTGCTCCAGCCCTCTGATCATCTTTATGGCTCTCCTCTGGACTATCTCTAACATTTGCCTGTCTTTCTTGTACTGGGGGCCCCAGACCTGGACATAGTACTCCAGATGGGGTCTCACAAGAGCAGAGAAGAGAGGGACGATCACCTCCCTGTCCCTGTTGGCCACCCCTCTTCTGATGGAGCCCAGGATGCCATTTGCTTTCTGAGCTGCAAGAGCACACTGCTGGCTCATGTTAAGCTTTTCATCCACCAACTTGGAAAAACTCATTTAAAATATATTAGCCTGGACTTAATTAAAGATACATTTTTTCAGTATTTTGTCAAAAATCTCTTTATCCTTCATTGACATCTTTATACTTTCAAAGAATATATTCTCTCCTCAAGAAAACCGAAAAAACAACAAACCCAAGCCCTTCACTCCCCAAACACAGCTTTGCGTGAAATTTCTTCTTTCCTACTGTTAGAAGTAACATTCAAGCAGAGAGACATGAAGTAGGAGTATTAATAGAAAGAACCCTAGGGAGATTGCACTCTGGAGACAACAGAAACTTAATTAGGTTTTAGGGACCAAAATAAAACAACTCTTTTCAAATAAATTCAATAAGCCACCTAAAAAAAGGTTAACCTTAAACATATTTAATTTAAACAAGTGTAAGTAAGGTTTAACATTCAGTGACAATGTGAAAATATGAAGAGAGAAAGCTACTAGTGGTTTGGCAAGGAGGTGAGATCTTTTCAGAGTACTCTAAAGAATACAGAACTTATGATTACTTGCCGAGCATACACATATATTTATATACAAATAGAGCTGAAGGAGCTCCTGCCTTGAGAACATGGATATGATTTCATAAATCCAATGCTGCTGAGTTGTCTGTAAAGATGAAAGGAGAAGGAATTTTGTAAGTACTGTACCGCCATATTTTGTAGTATAGCCATGACTCATAATCGGTTCACCTTGTTCTTGCAAGCACGACCACTCCGCAGTTGTGGTGGCATGAAGTAAAGGACTAAATTCTGATACAGACACGACTGATCTGACACTGAAGCAGTTCCTCCCTGACATGAGTTTACAGACCAAATCTGTAGATTGAGATAATGTGCTAAGTTTAAAGACAATAGACTGCATTTCTTTAGGTGATTAAGGACATGCAGAAGGCTCAGATCTTAAGTGACCGCTTCACATTAGCCCTTACTTGTAATAATTGTTTTCAGGAATCCCATTCCTCTGGAACCCCAAGCCAGCTGAACATCAATTCATGCAACCTGATGAGGTGCATCCCCAAGGACTGAGGAAGCTGACTGATGTCACTGCAAGGCCACTTTCAATTATCTTTGGAAGCTGATGCTGATCAGGAGAGGCTCCTGAGCACTGGGAGAGAGAAGATGTTACAGATGTGTTCAAGAAAGTTGAGAATGAGGATCTAGGGAACTACTGGCCATCTTTCTTCACCTCGGTCCATGAAAGGTGGTGTAGTACATCTTTAAATGAAGACAGCAATGAAGAATTTGTCCCTGCTCTAATTCTGCTATGAGATTTTTTTAGAGTCACTTATGCTAACAAAACAGCAGTGCATGAGGTGGGCCTGGAGAAGCACACTAATTGCCACAGTATATGTAAACAGGATTAGTACAACTGAGAAGTAATGGAAAAATGTTGTGTTTCTTCCTCTAGTTTCCCTACATAATTTAACAGCTGCTTATTCAGATCCATAAAAGGGCTACGGGACAAAAATTGAATTCTAGCACTGTAAGACCTTGAGACTGCTGAAGGAAATGCATTTCACTTTGAACTGAAGAAAAATAAAAGCCACTCAAATGGCTCAAAAGCACTTTACTGCTTGCATCTGCCTAACCATGGTTTAATAAATGAAGAAGTGCAAGCTTCCAGATCTTCAGTATCTTCTACACTTGTTGAGCCTCAGGCTTTAGGATTTCACCAAAAATCTTCCTATATCACCAAAAGTGTACTGATTACATAATTGTTAAGGGGAGAGATTTGGTGCCTGTCTCACACTGAAGTCTTACCTAGCTGTATAGCTTGAGTGTTCTTGGTTACAATATTCTGTGGGCCTGGACATGGTGAAATCTTGGGCAGGAGCACATTCCAGAGGAGAATGATTGCCAGTAATCCCACTGCAACTGTTGCAAAGCATGGCAAGAAGAAATGTAGGGTTCAATATACAAACGCCAGAAGAAAAAATGTCCAGCTGTGAAAGCACTCAGGTGTTGAATGGACATTGCAACTCCTGCTTCAATCTCTTTTTTTTTCCTGTACTTTGCCCAGTGATCATTTGTAATGCAAAACAGCCTAAGCGTATTAGAACCTGACAATACATAGGATGGGATGAAGTACATTATGCTCAGAGGCTAGAGTTCATGTTTGCATTTTGAGCAGAAAGAACTGGGAGTAAAAATGATGGCAAGGAAGTTAGGGGTTAAAAGAAGGTCAGATGAAAGGGTTAAGAGAGGAAACAGGAAAATCATTTCAGAGCCTGCAGCAGCGGAAAAGGATGGGTAAGGGAGCATGAAAGCTAAGGGCAGAAGAGCATGTCACAGCATTAATAATATTTTCTCTTTGAAGAGACTTTTGAAATTTTGTGGAGGTATTTTTGGCAGCAGAGCTTTAATATGCATTTTCATACAGCTTACAAACTTAAATCTTGCGGAATTTCAAAGCATTTTTCTTTGCTGCGTTTGGGAATTTTCATTAATTTAGAATGAAGTTCTGATTTTTCCCTAAGATCCAGAACAAGAATATGACTATGTATTTGTAGGTATATAATTTTTAAGAATTGAACTGCAGATCTTGTAAACGCATCCAGGTTAGTCAGTCCTGGAAAATGAATTGCTCTGCTTTGCTGCAGATCAGAAGTTAGCTTCTTTTGTTTTTCTTTGCCTCTCTTTTCTCTCAGAGGGAACAACTGAGGTAAATTTCGCTTCTGAGGACCATAATCAGGGATGCCAGTTAGCACCAACATGTTCACTATAATTCGTTCAATTCTGCCACAAATGTTTTATCATGACTTAATTGAAAAGATAAGCTTGGTAAGACAAGCATCTTAAATCTTGCTTTGCAAGTGTTCCAGTCATCCAATTATATATACATCTGACTTGGGGTGTTATGCTAGGTTTATGCAAATCATTTAAAATGACCCCAATTGCACATTTTACCACAGAATACAAATGCATTCTCCAGAACTTGTGGTTTAGCTGAAGTAAACTTACATAGAAATCACTTTCTTATAATTTATGGTCTATCACACTCATGCCTAAAGCTTAACTCGGCAAGTAAAATAATTTAAGTGCCAGCTCTTCGTGATTCAGTGTCTTCCATTAACATATAATACACACATCCGCAAGAGTCCAAAGGACCAAAAAGAAATGAAGGCATATGCTTTACAGTCCATGCCTCATTTAGACCTACAATATATCAGTTATTAAAAAGTCTTAGTTGTCAGCAGCTGCAGTTTGCATACAGTTGGGTTTTTTTTCTCTTTTTTTTCTCAAGTGTTAATAAATCCTACTATACCACCATACTTGAGTATGTTAGGGGTTTAAATAGAAGAGACATGTGGTAGAGCAGACAACTGGACCTGTTCCTTCTTAATGCCCACAAGTCCCAGTCTCCAAAAAGTTCCTATTCCCTTAAAATTAGAGAGAACAACTTTTGTGTCACCATTCACACATTCAGTAAAACGTAGGCATTAGGAATGCATGCATTCACATTCCTGTAACTTTGTATTTTTTCTAAAATCTCATGAAACTTTCTTCTTTGTTTCAGATACAGACAGGCTAGCTTTAGAATTTTCCCAGAGCTTGAAAAGGCAATGAACTTTTACATATGAAATCACAATTACAAAGTGGAACAAAAAAAAAATCAACATCCATGCTAAACAAATTCACTTACCTTAGGTACAAACACAAGGCAGAGAGTGATGGTACTGCAGAAAATTATGACTAAAGCAACAATGCAGAACTGCACGTTGGGTTGGTCCCGAGTAAGAAATGAAACAGCAGCACCAATAATGCACATAATCCCGACATTGTATACGCTCATTCCGATGTATTTGCTGTCATTCAAAGCAGGAATGCTGACATTTCGTGTTTCCCAGGCTAAGAAACAACCAAATAACTGAAATGGTAGAAAAAAAGAAAAAGAAAAAGAAAAAAGATAGTAATTATGAGAAGAATTGGTTGACATCCAGAAAAAAACATTGATCTGCGTGTAATGAATTTATCAGGTACAGCAGGTGTGCTTTCTAACTTGATAAATTTAGATAGCATTACAACTTAGGGATATACACATACATATTTTAATGATATCTAATCATTATTATTACTTTTTCTCAGTAGACAGATTTTATCTTTCACAAGAAAAATACAAAACTTGGTAGTAGTGGTAGTAGTAGCAACGGGAACAACTTTTTCTAAATGTTATGGACATATTTATTTTATACTTGTAATTATTTCTGAAGACAGACATTCCTCTTTGTTTTCAGGGATTCCAGTAAAGATATGATAGGTGGTTCTTTTAGCTACTGTTAGCAGCTGTTCTCAATAGACTCTTCTCAATCCAGTTATTCATTGTATGATTATCACATACATTAATAAGCAGAAGTGCCTAGATGTGTCCAATGACAGACAAATATGTGCAGAAGGTGTCACCCTACCTGTTCAAAGTGCAATTACAATTTCTTTTATAATAGTGAGAGTTGGTAATGGCCTTTCAATTGCAATTGTCTAATGATTTCTGGTATAAAATATTCCTGTGGCAGTTTTTCTTTTACTTGTTTCTTTGTAATGTTCTTACATTACATTCTAGCCCCTTTTTTATTTGCAATATGCCTTTGAAATTTAGCAGGGGAGAGTCTTTAGGGTAAGGAAGTCTTCTTCATTCCTTGAAATTTAATTAGATTTTTCTACAACATGAACAATTGCAAAAAAATTGTTCGATTTCTCTGTCTCCCTGTATTCCACATGGAGATTCTGGCAACAAAGGAAAAGCATAAATGCACTCAAGGCACTGTAAACAGGGAGCTGAGTCAATAGTCTAGGCAAAGCCCAGTAAGCATGTACAGCGCTATGGGTAGAATGGTAGAGAGTCGATAGTATCAGAAAAGGGAAGGACAGAGGAATGAACACCAAGACCCAAATCATGGTGCCTGTGCTATCTAGATTTTTCTAAACACACTATAAGGAAAAACAGGAAAGAAAATGAAAATAAAAACACAAAAAGGATGCATTTCCATTGACCTGGCTACACTTTCATCCGGACATCACTTTTGTCTACTGTCAATTCACAGAGAAAATCTATCTTAAACAACTACAACCCTCTTGATAACCCTGAAAAGTTAAGGTCTCTCATGATGCCCCTTGGGGATTAATTACATTTGCCCAGTAAAAACTTGCTTTTTACCTGTGGGGGAAAAAAAAAAAAAAAAAAAACTTTAAAATTTTAAAGGCAAACAACCTGGACTAGAAGACCATTTTCTGGTCGCAAAGTCAAGCCGAAAAGTGTTAGGAACTGACAGATTTATGTTTGCTGTATGAATTCAGTTTTGCCTTTATATGCTTCCAACTATAGTAATGATCAGACGTTAATAATAGTATATTTCCTTGATGATTTGTTTACTTTTTTCACCTCTACTAACAACAGTAACAAACCAAATAATTTGTGACTCACGTGCCTTACACTTACACAGACACCAGCAGACTCCAGCAGGCTCCACCTACTTCCTTAAATAGACACCTCAATCCTGGACTGACTGCTGAACTGCCAGCCTTGCCCTCCCATTGCTGAACTTTTCTGCTATTTTATTTAATTCTCTTGCCTACAGCACATATGTTACCATGCCACATGTTCATGAACAGTCCTGGCTGAAAGGCTCTGGAAGATATTTACTTTCAGCTTATGGAGCGTGGCAGATTGCAAATACACGTAGGCAGAGGTGGCCCTTGCAAAAAACACAAGCAGCATTTGCCTTTGTAATACTTACGGAAGCCTTCCTTAGCCCCATTCTCACCTTTCTTCTCTCCATGTATTCCTAATGCTCCTGTAGGATGTGGTCATTTCCAGGGCTTTCCTTTTGCTCCTTGTCATAAGTCTTATCATGGCACCAAGCTTGTTGGAGTTCAATAAACGTTTAGATAACACTCTCAGACATATAGTCTGATTTTCAGGTGATCCTATGTGGAGCCAGGAGTGGGACCTGATGATCCCTATGGGGTCCTTCCAACTCAGGATATTCTATGATTCTCCCTCTTCCGCTTTACCCATTTCCTCTTGTAGGACCAAAATCCACACCTACTCTAGAGGGGTGGAGGTTAGAAGGGTCTCAAAGTCTCTCTGGTAGGACCTAGATGGAGAAGCTGCTAATCCCCTAATGCATTTTCCAGATCCCCTCAGATAACTAAAGTGATGCTTTCAATGAGGAAGGATGCAGACACCACTTCTCTGGTTTTGAGTCTGGCACTGTGCAGAAATGAAGCAGAGAATGCATGGCTTCCTCTACAGTCTTTACAGATGCAAACTGTAGTCTGCATTGACCTGACTGCACTAGAGTCCAACACTGGCAAGGTCTTTTCTCAGGCAACAAGCGTATCCTTCCCAATGCCTCTTCTGCATTCCCTGCACTCTTGCTGCAGAACAGCTCAGCTAAGTTGCAGATTCACACTTTGGCAGTGCCTGAACTGACAACTAGGCTGAGCTCTTAAAGGAGTAGAAAGCATACCTGTGTGTGTGCATCTAAACTCTGTTTAAAAAGAGATGAGACCATGACTAACTATTTTAGTTTCAACTCAGGGGCCTCTAATCCTAGGAACTGTGTTTACTGGACAGCATATACTTGGTATAATTTATCTTCTAAATATTAATGAGAATTTTAGAGTTGTGGATCATCCCTTGCTCTCCCCCAGTTCTTCAAGATGGACACACTCCCCTCCAAAAGCATTATTCTGGGAACACGGCCAGCAAACCTAAATGACGCCAGCATTTAATACAAATAATGGGCATGAATTTATAGCTAAGGCAGTTATAAAGCAATTTAAAATATCAATTATAATGGAAAAAGATCATTTGAACAGTGTCGTGGGGGTTACAATCTGACCTTCTCATTTATAATTGAAAACAGCATGGAAAATGGTTGAGTATCTTCCAGCTGAAAGGGAGATATTTATTTATATGATAACGAAAGAAAGAGAGAGAGACTCTTGTGGCAAGTGGGTTTCCTTTGAATGAAGCACTACAAATTTAAGAGCATTGTTTCTAAATGTTATTGGCATTTGGAGTAAAATGTTTGCCTCAGAAACAGAGCTCTCCTTTTCTAAAACTCACAGTTCATCTTTGAGACTCAAACATGGATAAAGCAGAGATTTTCCACAGCCTGCTGCCAGGTCAGTGGTGATCACAGACATACTCCTTGTTTGCTTGTTAAGAGTGTTTGCAGAGCTCCACTGAGCTGATGAGAAACCTGTTTTGAGACAGAGCTTTCCAGAGAGAACGTGATGCTTCACTTTCTCTCCACCTGCCCTTTTTATGTTCTTCTCTATTCCTGAGTCTCAGCCAGTGTGCAGAAATTAGAGTCTCTTTTTTTGATGGCAAAAGGTCTGAAGCTCCCTGAAATGGTTTGGCTGAGGAATAGGATGTGGATATTGTTAGTGACAGGTCCAGAGTTCTGTAGTTTTCTGACAAGTTTTCTATATCATAGAACCATACAATCATTTGCGTTGGAAGAGACCCTTACAGGTCATCTAACTCCCTTGCAATGAACAGGGACACCTACAGCCACATCAGGTTGCTCAGAGCCCCATCCAGCCTGATTTTGAGTGTCTTCAGAGATGGGGCTTCCACCAACTCTCTGGGCAATCTGTGCCAGTACCTCACCTCCCTTACTGTAAAAAACTTCTTGATATCCAATCTAAATCTGCCCTCTTTTAGTTTGAAACAATTTCCCTTTGTCCTATTACAGCAGACTGTGCTAAAGAGTCTGTCCCCTTCCTTCTTACAGCCTCCCTTTAGATAATGAAATACTGCTCTCAGTTCTCTCCGGGGCCTTCTCTTCTCCAGGCTGAATAGTTCCAGCTCTTTAAGCCTGAAATGTTTGGGTCTCAGTTAAAAACACAGACTCTCAGTGGCCCATTCCACCTGCTCTCTACACCTGGTACTTAAACTTTAAGCATTAATCTTCCCCAGCTACATAAATCAACCTTCCCATTGTGCTTGGGGGCACCTAAGTCTTGAGGCTGCTGAGCAGTTTAAGGACTATTTGATGTTTAAAGCCTACTGGGATTAGCAAAGCAGCTGTTTCTTCTCCTGATGCTCCTGGAGGGCTCAAACTGGTAAGGCTTTTCAGAGTGCATCCACACAAAGCACAGCATCAGCCATCTTCAGTATTGCAAGACAGTGATATTGGTGGTGATCATTGCATGGTTTGGGCAATGTGGCACAATTTTTAATTTTACCTAACCCCCAAGTCAAGGTTGTTTTCGAAGCAGCTCTCAAATTTTTTTCAGAGCTGTCAGTTTTTATGTAATGAGAGACTGGCTGTCTTAATTACTTGGGCGCTCGTGTGGGATGTTAGCTTTAATCGCTGCTGAGAATTTTGATTAAAGAGTCTTTAGAGAAGGCATGCAAGAAACACACTGGAATGGATGGAGGAAGCCAGCTACTAGCAGTGCTAAATGTGCTAACTTCAGAGAGAGACAGGACATGTCTGTCCCCATTGCTTTATCCTGGCTCACTAAGATAGCTCCTCACTGACAGCTACAATTCCCCTCTTGAGGTTCCTGATGGATCCCATGTGTCACAGGATGAGTTTGAGCAACTCAGGGCTACGCATTCTATTATATAAAGCAGTTATCTAAAAGTTAGACTGCACAATTTTCTACTAAGCCTAATGGTCTAATTCAGGTTTCTTTAAGGATCTCAGCCAAAGACACTTTGAAAATGCAGCTAGGAAGGCTTCCTACATAGTTAAAACCATTAGTTTATAAAAAGTGCCTTTTACCATATAGATATACTAAATGCATATCTTATTAATGCAGAAAGCATTGTAAATATTGTTCTGTGCATTCTAGGAAGGTATAGGCTGTACAGGAAGGATTCATTTCTTTTATTTGTGTTTGAGAGTATGC